TGAATATCCGCTCACCATTTCAGAATATATAAGCGTGTCTGCCTTGAAATATGTAACTATTAATATGACAATGATCTTCTTTTCCATAGATTCGTATTTTGCCATAGTAAGTTGCAGGTTTTGACATTTTTTTGATAAGTTAATATATAACCATGCAGCAGATCTGGCACAAAATCCAAAATTTGTTTCCAAATAATGTTAGTCGTGGTGTTTCAACGACCATTACCTTCGGCCAACTGTCTAAAATAGCTACTTGAAACTACACCTTTATATAATTATTGTGTTCATTTTGTTGATAAAATACGAATACTATAGTGTTCTGATATGTTTTATTGGTTAATCAAAATTAATTCAATTATTCGGTGTTAATAATACTAATGAGTTCGAAACATATGCCCCTGCTGTCCAACGTTGTCTCTAAAAAAGGTTGAGGTCTTTTCCAAAGAATTATTAACGAGAGTACTTTGCATGGGTATGTATTGCATTGATTTTTAAAGAAAATAAGGTATGATGTGTCAATTATATAATAATGTTGAAATGATATTTCATTAATGCATGAAATATACATGGTATTTAAATTGTGACAGAAGATTGTGTTCCAAAATGAGTAAGTAATTTCAAACTGGATTTTTTGTTTTTTCAAACAATCATTACGATATATTAGTTTTGTAAGTAATAGTATTATTTAGAAACGGTTGTAAATTTGCCTTTGATTGAGAGACCTAAATATGTGCCTTTCTAATTCGGAAAAAAAATCTTATCTCTCTTTACAAATATAGCATCAAAATATGTCCGAAATGTTAATTAGATAAGCATTCTGAGGTATAATATATGACTTGAATGTACAGAAGATTACATTTGTCAAACTCTATTGCCTATATCATAGGTTAGGTTTCCATACAATTATCATGACTTAATTGGTAGTCATACGCCATGAAACTTTAGAAACAAACGTTATGCGCGCAAACCTATTTCACCTATTTCATATGTTTGTTTAGAATAAAAATACAGTCTATTGTCTAACACGGTAGAGATGAATTGCAAATTTCTTATTGTCTTCACTTAGTACATTCGAGCTATGATTGCTTGATATATTTTCAGTTGCTTTAAATAGATACGATACGATCGACATGGTTTCAAAGTAGTGTTATGTAGATCTATAACCTAGAACGTAGCATTTCTTCGCATGACCTATGAATAGATACTTATCTGTGTCTTGGCAGTTAATAATAATAATAATAATAATACAATTATTAGTAAATATGTTAACGAGATTCGATTTGTTTCATTAGAAAGGCTAACAGACGTTGTCTTAGAAGAATCATGTATATTCTAGTTGTGTGTGTCTTGTCATATGAACGGGTATTTTGAAACAGAAATTGAGCAATGGGATCTATCGCGTGGGGACTATTGCGAACTAAACTAGTGTTAGACTTTTAAAAATGTTTATAGGAAGATAACCGAGCAATCCGATTCATTCCTATTTGGGATCCATTTATTTCTTATATTTTAATTTTATATCTTAAAAGCAGATTGCAGATATGATTGTTGTTGAGTTTAGTTAATTTGAATCGACAAAATATGTCTGCATTATTCAATAAAAATAAAATGGCTAATTGTGCAATAATGTTAATTGGAAATATTGACAACGTCACGTTTCTTGGTGGACAAGATCATTTCCAGTTCTGTAATTTATTCGGAACATTCCATTCTATTGGACTTACATAAATATTTTTCATGATTATTTTGGATTTGTTTTATACTACCGTACGTTATTCTCATGTTTACTTTTATATCATTGATCATTAAATTGTTAGCTAAGTTTTGCAAAATTGGTTGATTTTGCTTCTTTCTGCTGCATAGGTTGTAACCATAGATTCGTAAGAGTAGCAATTCATTATATTGAAGCGAATATAGTGGTATTTATAAAACTTCTGTAAATTATCACGCTGCACATCAAACTTCTATAGTAGTGAAAGCGCGCAAAGAATATCCACTTAAAGTAGTATTCCCATGAGTCTCTGCACATTATCTCTCACCGATTATCCACTTGTTATATACAATTTTGTGAGGACATTTGGGTATTGTTTTGCACTATTGAAACTGCACTTCCATTCGGATGTGGCTTTCTTATATTATTCCCCTTCATCAGACCGGGCTTGATGTACAATACTGGTAATATAATCTTCCTTGATTCAACAAGTGATGGGAATCTCTCGCACGTTTATCCCAATTCGCTCAAAAAACATCAGTACCTGCCAGTGATGTTGATAATTGGTTATGCACCTCAAACATTGTTTCATCTTCTCCCGAACTTTCTTCATTTGCACTACATGATTAGCTGAAAATGATGGCAAACCATAACCATTAAGACGCCAAACATATTTAAGACTCGTCTACAATGAATAAATGAAGGGTCTCCACTCATCTTGGTCATTAAGATGTTGAGGTCTGACAACACACCATCAGTATTATTTGCAGGCTACAAAATCACCATCCATGAAACGGAATAGGAACAATATCCTTTTGACGGCCACTGAACATGGAAAGCCTAATATCACATGCCCAGAGAGTCCACAGCTGTAATCTGGAGCCCAAAAGCTATGCCTTGCTATTAGATAGTTCCAATTGCCTGACAAGGTAATTCAGTTCACTTTTCATTAAGAGGTGTGGTTCAGAGAAGGAGGATGGGAGAAAATATGGTTCATGTGACTTTGATGGTTCATGACTAGACGTTTCACCCTTTTCCTCTTCCTCTTCCTCGTCTGCCTCATATGAGAATTATTCTGGTGCATCACGAACCGGCATTAATTCATCATGGGATGCTTCGTCGACTTTTACTTCATCACATATTTCCTAACCGGAAGCACCATGCATAAGAAACAATTCCTGATATAATATATTGGCTCTCTCTAAATCATTGGCACTGCAAAAGGCATAAGTTTATTTATGCTGTTGAACCACTGGAGAAAATTTGTTGCACAAACGTTGCACTATATGTGTGCGGCCCACCTCTTGTCCTGATAACAAAATTTGCAGCCAAATTATACATGATATTCTTTCTTGACTGTAGTAGATTTTAAACGATTTGAGAACTAAGTGAATGATTGGTATACATGACATGTCAAAGATCAATTAAAACATCAAAAATTCTTTATTGCTCTTGATCTCACATTGGTTTTATCTTGGCGAAGTTCTCTTGAACTTTCACGTCTAGGAGCGCTTCTGTTTGATATTTGGAAAACAAATAAAGTATATAAGCAATGTCAAAAATTTTAATTAACTTCAACGTAGACAATATAAAGAAATTTGTAACAATTGTATGTTCCCACGTTTATATTGATACATACTGCATGTTCATGTAAATTATTGTGTATGCATTGCGGGCTGTATAGATAGAGACTTAACAGCCAATATCTAACTTAAATGCGTTTAAAAACTGCGATGCTTTACCCTTCTGATTAAACACAATATCGATTGAACCGTTATGTACTCTTAAATCAGACAAATTTGTACCTATTTTTTTCACTATTCTGTCCAATGGTGGTGATGTTAGCTGAGACTGAAATTTTGAACACCATTTTTTAACATATCATAGTTCAAAAAGATAAAGGCATATCTTTAAGACACTAACAATGCAGAATGGATTAATCGCAGGCAATGACTGCTAATCATTGTTTTCAGTTCTTCCATATAGGATGTTGTTTTTTTTCCGGTATGTATTTCATGTGAACAGTGAGCATAATAGGTTGATATTCCTGTTGTATCGTCATTTGATTGTACCCCTTACTATTGTGCATTGCTCCTAGCGAAAGTATAAACTGAAATGTTAGCAACTTCATATCCAAGCTTGTTTAAACCAAGCCGAGAAATCAGATCAGACGTTAAAAATGTGTACAATATGTATCAACTATAAGATAAGAATTTCATTTAGTGATGTGTTCATTAGAAGCATTGCATTAATTTAATTTAATAACTTATTCATATCATATCATACAGATGATATAATAAAGAAGTGAAATATACCTTCAAAGCATTATGAATTATATTCTATTTTTTCGCTGACATTATATGCTACCTTTTAATAACTTTGCCAGACTGAGACAACATGTGAAGAGATACACGTGTACTAAGTTAAATTTTCGAGTCTACAAGATTCTATTATCGGCTTATGCCTTATTTATAATACTACCTATAAAATATGCAATTCCCTTTCGGTGAATGGAATGAATACATTTGATCAGAATTTGAATGGAATCAATACATTTGATCATAATTTGAAACTAAGGATTGAAGTTTGAAGGGACAGTCGTTCCTAAAAATTAATAGCGAGAAAGATTTTAGAATAAGATCTAGACAACGACCGGCATAATTGACACAAGTTATAGCTGATGTTAAATGACATCAATAAAGATTTGTTATTTTCTCTTCGAAAATGTGTAGTGTCCTGCAAGCCAGGTTTTAAACTCATATATCCTTTTTGAAACCAGCAAACTTATTGTTATAAATATCATATTCAAACACTTTGAACATTCCATAAGCGCCACAGCATAAAACACTTTGCAAAATCGACGTAAACAAAAGCCATCACAATGTAGTGTCCTTTGTGTATCATTCTTTAGACAAATAACAGTCTATATATGTTCAAAGAGAAAAAGGTTTTAATTCAATACGTGAAACTTTTTTCATTCTTACCTCGAACTATAACGTCTTTCCTACCAGGTGAAGCTAATCAGGCAGTTTCAATTCTTTGTGTTAGTGTGTGTAATTTAGATTTTTAACGTAGCTTTAAAACTATTTCAGTCTTATCACTACGATATCTTCAGAGTGACAGTTTAATGTGATGTCTAGAACTGGGGCATCATGAGGCAGACATGTGGCATCATGTCCCACCCAGTCACATTATCCTGACACCAGGCCAACCAGTCCTTACACTAACCTCTTAATCCTGAGCGCCAAGCGAGAAAGCTGTTAGTATCATTTTTTGAAGTATTTTGGTATGACTTGGTCGGGATTCGAACCCACGACATTCTGCATCCGAGGCGGACGCTCTAACGTCTAGGCCACCTCTGCGGTTTTCAATTTTGGCGAAGCCTGCGTCTAATGTTATAACATTCTGGAACGTGAATGGCATGTAGAGTAGTGATACATCCCCGTTGTATAACAAATGAGGCTGAACAATGCTTTTAATCTTAGCAACAGTGGTAGATGGCACCAACATCATTATCCTCTCATGAGGCTGAATAACTCTTATTGTGTATTTAAACCCATTTAGCCTGTAGATCCAAACAATTGTAATGTTGGCTCAAATTATTGCGTTGGTCAGTCAATCTGGAAACAATAGGCATTAAGTTATAAACAATTATCACAAATAATCATTTGAAATTTTTACAAATAATGTTCTTCAATGTAAGATGTTTACCTGTCATGTTTGCTCTTTAAACCTATCTATTTTGATGAAATGTAATAGATCATTCCCAAAGATGCATCAAAAAAAAAAATATCGAAATCTTTTTCTCTATATTAAATCTACCTCGGATACAACTAATGTAAGTAAATACTTTGTTCACATGTCAGTCAACAAAAGTGAGAAGAATTTGAAACAAAGTGATAATTTAAGACCGCCATTGTTTTTAGCTGTTTTCCAATTGGTGAAAATGGTCATTATAAAGATTTCAAAATTTGGAATTTCATTAATATCGGGAACCCCCAATTCTTCGTAAATATTGTTCGAACATGAAGCCAGGATCATTTATTTGTCATATAGCTGAAAGTATTTACTTCTCAGCATATGTACATAGATGTAAAAGCTGAAATCGAATAAGGTCAAACATATTTACGAAGACTATCTGTTTTTGTTTTCGGCATATATGTTGGTGTGTCCTTTGGTTCTCTATGTGATCGTACTAATTTCAGTCTTTCATTGTGGTTTGTCAGCTTGTATTTTGTTCTCCTTGGTTAGTGTTTGCATCTGTGTATATTCCTTATTTCTTTCCCTTATCTGAAATATAGAAGAAACATCTCTGAAAATTGCTGTTATTCATAGAAACCTGTACTTTATAGAGTCCTGTTTAATTGTGTGTCAAGTTCTGTATGCTTATACTGAGTATATAATCTTTGAAGGCACACCTTTTTCGGACATAAACAATGGATCTCTCTTAGTGTTTTATAAAAAATCGGTTTTCATTACAGTTTCAATTGTTTTGTCATAATGATGCAGGAAAAAGCATCCCATTGTCGTATGAAGGAATTTTATGACAGAATACCCGACAAGAACCGGCATTACGTCCATCTTATCTGGTAAAATATGTGCGCTATAAACAGGTGTCATCATAGAGTCTGTCTAAATGAATCAAAATTTTCCCCACCCATGCAACTCTCTCTCTCTCTCACATACACACATACACACACACACACATATATATATATATATATATATATATATATATATATATATATATATATATATATATATATATATATATATATATATATATATATATATATATATACACTTGTACGCATGGGAACGATGCAGTTCTTAAGTTGCTAAGCTTATTAAATATATATTTGTCACCTTGTACGAATTCACAACAATGAATGATATGTTACTTCATCTTATTCAAGGTAGTAGTCTTATTTTTGCTTTCGTAAAGGTGGGCAGATTCGAATAAAGGTATAGAACATTGTGCTATTAGTCACTTTGCAACAGTATTTACGGGAATAAATTAAAAACTAAAAAGATCAGAAGTAGATGCGATATAAAAGCTTGTTTTTCAAACAGTTTGCGATTCTTATAATAAAATATACGTAATATCTTAGGCACCCGTTAAATGCTCCGTTATAAATTAAGTAGATATGAATTTTACATTATATATGAATTTTATACATATCAATCACCTTTTCATTCTATAAGGTTAAAGACAAGCCAAACAAAAAAGATAACCAAATTTATTAGCTAAAAAGTAGTGCTACCCGTTTCTGATGCTGAAAACAGAAAATGGGGGAGTAATTACGTTGGAGCACTCTCATTGACATTCTGTCAGATGAAAAATTACATCATCAAAATGTTGTCACGGTATTTAACAGTATATATATATATATATATATATATATATATATATATATATATATATATATATATATATATATATATATATATATATATATATATATATATATATGATTGCTGCTTATCACCGTTAAGTTAGTCATTCGCCCGTTACGACAAACCGTTATACTGGTTGTTTAGTTAAAAACAATATTGAGTATCGAAAATTCTACAACGTATATATTCAATGTTAAAATGTTATTTTTCTACATGCAATAAATGTTAAGTATCTCAATTATATGCAACAATTACGACCGATTTAATTCAGACTATTTTTGTTAAAAGGAAAAATATAATGCAAAGCAGGTATCCCTTTCAGTTTCCGGAAACTTATCTTCACATTACGGACACGTTTGTTTCCGAACTTCAAGTTAACAATTGAAGTCAACGCTTACAAATCAATTTTAACTGAAATTTCCATTCATTATGTTTTCCCATATGCTTATTTTAGACCTTTCTTGAAGTTTTCGTTAATTTCCTATTGGTCCGTGTCTTACCTGCCTACATTGTCAAACATTAGCGAGATTTGCCTTGTAATACCTTCTTGTTGCATCATAAATTGAACTTTCATGTACTGTACATTGCCCTGCTCCTCTCTTTTAAGATGGCACATAAATAGGATTCTGCCGTTTCGTTTATCTGTGAGGGACAGAGTCAAATTTGTCAATGACATGTTCCTATTCTGAAGGTTTCTCTGGCTATGGCGTCGATGAAATCTATGATTTAGTGCTACCTGTATCTTTAATGAATTCTAAACCTACATGTTAGCTTTTCTTATTTGATTCAATCAGTAAGATAATGTACAAACTTTGTTATAGTTTGATAATCCCAAAATGAATGTACTTGAAAGCTGCATATCTATAGGGATATTTCATCATATGTTATTCTATTTGTGAATTTGAACATCACGTTAATCAAACCATGTATCAACTACTCAACCTCCAACATGGTTTTTGATTTCACTGCCAATATACACAAATCCTTGATTTTTTCTTCAGGAAGAGCAATTTTCATTTAGTGTCATTTTCCTTGTTATATCATTACATATTGTTTAAATGTATATACTTGGTAATAATATATTTACGGAAAGATCCTACATAGGCACCAATTAGCATTGCTTGGTTACTTTACTACGAAGTCATATACTGGAACGTATCCAGTTCACGTAATTTTCCTTGGAAGATTTCAAGAAATACAACTCCGAATCTTAGAGGATATTGTCTAGTTTCGAGTCAATAATGGATATATGTCGTCGGGTAGGCGAAAATACATAAGAGACCCTCCACGAGATACATATTAATGGTCGGATATATCCCAACGAGTGAGTGAAAATAATCATGTTTACTCTCGAGATGAAATATATTTATTCAATCCATGCAAGCATAGTTTATTTTAATTTTTCGCACAAACGCATTGGGTAGCAATCTAGTATATATATATATATATATATATATATATATATATATATATATATATATATATATATATATATATATATATATATATATATATATAATAGATTGCCTGTAGCAGATTTCGTACAGTATTCAATGCGATAATGTCAATAGATTGTGAATAATTTTCTGTTGTTTTGCACAAATTCGCACAGAAACTATCAGAGGGAAAATAACCCTTATCGAGAGATCTGATCTAAGCATGCATAGCGCATGGTAAATGTGAAAAGTGGATTTTCTTCAAATCACATATACAAAATGCATGCACTAAAATATTTATTATTTCTAGTAAGCATGGCTTTAAGAACATTCATTTGAAAACTTAAACGAATTCGTCGTTTTTGTCTGCATATAACTAGCTTTAAAGCAAAATGTACCTTAAAACATTTAGGTTTAAAGAATTTTTCAGCTTAGAGGAAATGAAAAATATATGGAGAAAGATTTTATAAAACATAAATATGAAAACAATAAGTCGCTAAAAGTCACTCTAACACGTGAAGAAAAAAGAGTGATGAGAACGATAGTGATGATGATGATAACATTCTGAGAATTTATTTATTCTCGCTTAGTTTATTGTTAATAGCTACACGCTGTGAATTAAAAATTCATGGCGTTCGTCAATTTGTATTTATTTAATATGTCATGAATGTTATCACTGATAAAGTGTAGATCTAAGTTATACGAAACGAAATATTAGGTAGGAATTACTAAGTTTCCTACGAGCAATAACCTACGGAGTATTACTTGCGTTCATTATTTTATTCCTAATAAGTATATCACATAGATTTTATTTTTCGGTATCCAGTTACAAATTTGCACCGAATGACTTGTGGATATACAGCTTGAATTGAAGCGTACCTGTTTCTAATCCATTTAGCTCCATGGGCTATATTGTAATTAAAATTGATCGCCAACGGTATGACTTCCTCAGTTTTCTCTTGCAGATTAAGATTCCAGGGCTTACAGATTTTTATTTTTAATCCAATAATTTTCTCATTTAGTTCGATATTCCTTTTTGCCAACCGATTCAATTGGAATGAAAACGCAATCTTCAAGGAAAGTTCAGTACTGTTAAAATGATTTGCAACCGATTTATTTTCTTTTTTAATCTCGAATCTGGTGAAGCGGTCTCTCATTGTGAGAGTAGCATGCCTAACATATTGCTTTCCACACTTGTTGCAAAAGATCAGGTAAATAACGTTTATCGATATACAGAACAAATATTGTTTGATTGCGTAGGTCTGATAGACACGACAAGAACAAACTGTTGTTTCTCCAAAAAGGGCAATTATTGCAATGTTTACTGCGGCAAGCTTTACCTGCTCTTAAAGTATATGTGTACGAATGAAATTTATTGACTGAACTAATTTTTGATTGTTCTAAAAATCGCTTGGAATAACCAAATCCCCAATGTGATCTAAATAGTGTATTTGTCGCTATTTGAAAATCTTCGTGTCTATTACAAAGTCTATGAAACCTAATAATTTGAGATTTTAGAATTCC